TATAGAGGTAGCAATATCTGTTAGTGTACGATGTTGTTGGTTTATTAATACATGACATATATCAATAAGATACTGCTCTGGATTAAGAGAGGATTTCAGCTGTTGCTCAATGACATTCACAAGTTTACTAGATTTCTCATTATTTGTAACTCCTGATGCATGTATCTCCTCTTTAGTTTGTTGTGGTATCAGTTCTTTAGCATACAATGCATCAGTTACATTGTATAGATTCACACTAATAGCATGAACTAATTTATATGAATGAGTCCTTAATATATCCTTTGGATTACCTGCAGTAGTGTATCAGTTAATGAGTGTTGTATTAAGTGTATGTTTACCTGTTATAGGACCAGGATTAGCATTACTGCTACTGACTTCCATGTCATCATTAGTACTTCTTCCAGCTGTGGGATCTGTCACTTTGTCTTCAATAGTTCTAGCTAGTTCATTCTCTTTACATTGTTTCAAAGCATTAATGACATCTCTCCATGATGCTGTAGGATTAACTTGTAACAATCTCTTATGTAAAGCCATTTTCATGAGGTGAGCATTTCTTTTCTTTTTATCAATTGTATTGACATCAGATTGTGTTATTCCAGGAAGACAAAGAGCAAATGGTTTCCAGTCAACAAGTGGTTTAAGACATTTTGCAAATAAGAGACAAGATGGTTGATCATCAATCATAGGACCAGGATTGAGTTCAACATCTCCTGATAAGAGGAGGAGGAGAAGTAAAACCAAATAGTAGATCAGCTCAGAGCTACTCCCAATAGTAGCTATAAACAAGACTAATGACTGGAGGCAGTGGATCATAACAGTAACAGTAATTATACCTATTGTAAATACACTGTATGATAATATTATATACTGTTAGTTTGTTTACCAGTTGGAGGAATAAAATTGAGCTTCATATATCTTAATAAAGATAAAAGAAGAGAAACAATAAGAGACAGAGCTGCTGGCAGTTTAGATGTCTTCTCTCCTGATGTAGTACTGCCTGACTTGCTGTCTACTGCAGCTTTGAATGAGTGAGAGTGGTGGCCATTAGCTGGTCTACTGGAGGCAGCTTGACAGTAGTTCCACAGTCCAATACTTGCTCTCCATTGAGAGACATCAATCATCTTGTAATTATTATTATTATTATAAATGACGTTAGAGACCAGTAGTTCCTTTATCCAGTGACTAATGGTAAAGAGTACAATAGAAGTGAGTGTATGTGTACCTGAACTATCATTGAATTATATTCATGGATCATTAACACTATATGCTATGAGTAGTGTCTGTAGTATCAGTACATAGTGATTGGTACCACTCCTCCACTACAGTTAGTATTGTCACTACTGACCCTATTTTGACTAAATTTGGTCATTTTACGGATCACTTGCATGCTATGAATGCAATAAATATTAGAGTAGGTTAAAATAGATATAGGACTATTCATGGATATGCTCATTAAAGATCAAATTATTTGATGTAGCATTACCCAATAGACCTCATGAAATAAACAATAATTTAACTCACAATTTATGCTTCATAACAATCACAAGCATCCATTAAAACAAAAATTGATTAGTGAACGTATACATGCATTGACTAATACTAGAGTATGGTCTAATGGTGCAGTATGAGATAATTTAAATAATACTAATGATACTTAAGTAATGATACTTTAAGTAATGATACTTGTTAATTGAAATCTACTTTCATTTGACCAAAATTGACCCTGTTGAGAGGGTACTTTTGTTAGTGGAGCTTGTTTGATTATGGTTATATATATTTGAAATTGCTATGAATCAATGACTTTTTTGCTTGTTATAGGCTGATGCTTTACTATAAAGTATGGAATATAAAGTATTCTCTCATTGTCCTCCATACTATAGTATGGAGGACAATGAGAGAATTAGGTGGTTTATAAGGTGTAGCTATTTCAGTGATCACTTACACCACAATAAAGAAAGAAGGATTTTATAAAAGGAATTGAAGAGAAGATCCTTTCTACTACTGCAAAGTAAGAGTAACCTTCACTAGTTAATTAAAGGAACAAGCTTTCCTGTAGATCTAACTGGAAATGCACCAGAAAAAGAGACGCACAACCAAAAAGACGCAAAACAGCAAAAAGAAGCACAGCAGCAAAAGGGTGGGGCTGGTTACTGCAGTAAAACAAGGCGTGGCTGATTATACCGTATTAACTCTTATTATAAAAATCACAATAGGTGTACACCCAAACTCAGCATAAAGACCCACTCAGACACACAAGAGGTGAAGGATACTGTTATTAATGGATAAAGA